AGGGTGATAAGACCCCTGAGCCTGAGGAACTCCTCCCAATCTGTGAATGTCAACCTTCGCCTTCTTATATCACAGATTGTTGTTTGTCCAGAAAAACCAAATTGAAGTGAACTGTGAATCAAGTGGTATATAATTTACGGTAATTAGAGTGACGGTAATATAATCCCAGTACACTCATGTTCCATTTCAGTTGGCAGTTCCCTTTAGTAAATGACAACAAATAAACCCAAACTGACTTGTTGCTTATACGGTATTTACTAGTAAAGTGACTGACTGAAGTGGGATGCAAATATGTGATCTCTGGAACGCCGTGGTCCTAGTGGCAGTGGTGGGTAAAATTTCCACAGAGAGCACACGAGGGTACATTTTGTTTTGTTCATTTCTTTCGCTTTTTCCCGTTTTTGGTTCTATGATAATTTTTAGTGGGGCAAGCAGCCCCCCTCACGCAACGCCCATGAACATCATTTTAGACTCGTATGCACATAGTAAACACGCTACTCATGAGGGATGTAGCTCCCTTCGAATACGAGATGGTAGCTCAATTCAAGGTACAGTCCTGACAAAATTATTGGCGAAAAGCACACGTGGGTGAAAACTGGTTGTGTACCCACGCTTCTGTGAAAATTAGTCTTTTTGGCAAGCTGTCATTTTGAAACAGACAATGAAAGAAGGCGGTTTTCCAACGATGCGTCAACACATGCATGCACTTTTGGAAAATTGGCAAGTGTTGACCATAATTTGAACGCACCCTCTCGGTCTACCACTCTCAATAGGCCTACATTTATTCGAAGAGGGATGCCCACAGAAGTTCAACGTTAACAGCGCAGTTGCTTTATATACATTTTGCACTTTAAAGTTGTTATCGCCGCACATGTGTACCAAATGGTACCCCGTTCCCTACCCGCATATCCATTGGATACGGCTCCTGGGAGAAACCTCACGACATGATAGTAACTAAGCCCACGGGAGGAGAATTGACCAATAAATCTCAAGATACGTTTTTACACAGTTGTATAAACCCTGCAATTTGGACACAATTACTCTAAAACATTCTAAGCAGAATTTTCTCTTGAAAAAAACTGCCCCAAAACCCGCGTTACGTGTGGTTGTACAAAAGATAAGCTTTGAATATTAATATTATTTTAAAAACTTAGGGATTTTTTCGGAGGGGTCCTCATTTAAAATACACCACATCGCTTTATTCAGTGATTGTAATTGTACCAGTATGTTTCCACGAGAAAATCTTGCAAAATACCAGCAAAAGTTGTGTATCCATCAGTTATTTTACAAAATTTTCATACGTCAACAAAAGGTTATAGGCAAATAAAATTGAATACTTTCCATTCCATGAAAGAAATGCCTATACTCCTGAGCAATGTATTCATATTCGATTCGATTTATGTCTTGGTGTAAGTGACGTATCCAGTTGGGGGGGGGCACGGAGGCAACTTTCCCCCGTGACAGATTTCTTTTTTTCAAATAATGGTTGAGTAAAAGAGAAAGTATGCATTATATTTATTTATCAAATATTAGCACCAAATCCCTAGGAAAACAACATCAGCAAATAAAAGCAAGGATTTCAGGACCGCAATGTTTTCGATTTTTTTCCCCACAACATAATGTTGAATGGGCTCGAAGACGCATTCACTTCTTGATCCTCCCAGCCCACACACGCAAGTGTGTATTTGCCTGCAACTGGGGACCCCCTATTGTTCCTCTTTTGTTTGTACTTTAACTTTTTTAGAAAACCACCCATATGTTTTGTACACACTTGTCAATCGGGGACCCTCTGTCAGTCGGGGACCTTATTGTTCTCTATTGTTCAGGGTCCCCAATTGAATGCAGAAACAAACTCACACACACCAAAAGCAGGATACACTGCCGCTTCTTGTCCTGGGGATTGGTGGTTCAACTTTCAATCTGTCCAACAATTCACCTGTCAATACGTCTGAATATGGTTGCTCACCAGTCGTTGAATGTAATCGAGGTATTCCAGGAATCTGTTGAAACAAAAGTTACTCTAATCCTTACAATATGTCAATGGTTATCGGGGCGAGACGAATTCCATTACAGTCGGACTACATCGAATGGACAAAAGTTGGCAAAGATCCAACACAATTGGAATGACCAATGACTGAATTCACAGTAGCATTTGAAGGGGACAAAATGAAAATGATCCCACGAGTCAGTCAAGTCTCTTAAGTCAGCCAATTTGCATGAATTCAGCTTCTATGCGATGCACAACCTTGTACAGAATAAATAAAAACCACTCGACCTTAAAAATAGGGCTGACCTTTTGTCGCAATTTGTTTTCAAGAAAAAACGGTACTGTTTATTGTTAAGCCTTATTGTTTTCAATGGCAGGACCCACCAGTTGTGCCCTCCCATTTATACAGTTCTTAGTTTCCAACGTCGGACCCTACTTTAGGTCCAATGCTTAGAAAGAAGCAAAAACTAATAGGCTTAGGCGTAACAAATTTCATTTTTAAATGGAAAGTTAAACGGAAGCCTGCAAGACATCAAATACAATTTGACCCGTCATAAATGAACACCCGTTGTTAAAATGCTACGTACATTGATTTTGTGTTAAGATTGTTTTTGTGCTTTAATTTCTATTTAAGGTAAAGGAATTTTTAATATTGATATATTTGTACATATTATTGATATTTCAATCATGTATTTGAATTATGCAAACATTTTACGGCATTTCTATGATAAAAGTGATTTTTTTGTAATTCTAGATCAGAATCTATGGAGTTGAAGACGAGTTTTTCACAGCATCCCTCTGTAGTTTTCATACTTCGATGTTCTCGCAGCAGTTGTAAAAGAAAATATTGAATGTAAAGTAAAATTTAATTGTTAAGTTTATCGTTCCCTGTTTTCTGCCTTATAACACAATTGTTGAACAGTGCTTAAGGTACATTTGTACGTTTTTGTCTTAATTTAGCAAGATCTACAATCTATAAGACAGTTCTGTATAATTACAGCTTATTCTGATTCCCTCTTGCAAAGAATTTAAATTTTCATCAGAGAATTTGTGACATCTCCTTCGAAAAAAAGTTGGTTGAAAAGGTTTTTCGAGTAAAAAGTAAAATGCATAAATTCATCTGCTGTTGATTGACAACATTTATAGGGGGGGCTAGTGACTGCCTCTGTTATAAAAAAAATCTAACAACATGTTGACCTTGAGTTTCCAACTGCCGTGACGCGATCGAACCACGAGATTACTTACTACAGTGACCACCTCTAACAGTCACTGGTATGGTCCAGCCATTTTTTTACACGGAGATGAGTGTACGTTAGGTGTAAGTGATCTCCAATAAACAGTGCATATGATATAGTTGTAACACTGAAAGTACCGCTTTCCACACTTTAGTGAATAACTTGAGGAAATTTTAGGAAAATGGAATTTCAGGATTAATTACTTAGGATTAATTATCCTATCTTCCAACACATGAAAGAAACAAGATCAGTCCAAAAATACATGACATGAAACGAGATTTGTGTGCAAAATCTCACCAAAGACAGACTTGCACACATGGCGATACACCTAGGCGTATTTCAATAAGACAGACCTAAACAATAATGCATATGTCTAAGTCTATGACAACACGACAGCAAATTCGTGAGGTACAATATGGGGGACTCATAATGGTGCGCCTCCAAATTTGTCGACCCTTTCCGAGCGCGCATTGGGTCGACAGATTTCGTGCACTGTGATCGGTCAACGCGTTGCAAACTCTTGGAGGCGCACTATAGTGAAACGCCCGAATTCAACACTAACATTTGCTGTTCATACAACAAAAGTGTATGCATGTGACTGCCCAGAGCTATACAACAACATAAAAGTCGTGCGTAAATGATGCCCAGTTTATCCAGTGGTGTGGTCGAGTCCGTTTGAGGTCCGTTGCACAAGACCAGTCATCAGGGTGAACAGTGACCTAGAGGATAATGTCTTTGCCAAACTTCATAGCTTAAGACTGCAGCCTTTCGGCATTGCGATGGACTTGCATGCAGATACCATGGACTCGGCTATGCAACACTGCCAAAGACAACGTGTCAAGCCTTATTAGTAGGCCATGAATCTCGGGGGATCAGGGCGGGGGTATTATGGTGTTCTAACTATGGAGTTTCTATGTTTGTGAATCGTGAGGGTGGTGTGTGTGAGTTTGTACGTTGTGTGTGTGAGTTCGAACGTCAGGTGAATTGTAAACTTCACGTGTGTGAGTATGAACGTTCAAACACGACTTTCAAACATGCACACACGACATTCAAACTCACAAGCATCCCCTACTTTTAGATGGGCTATTGCATCATTTACAATTCGGGGTGAGAAATTAAAAAAAAAAAAAATCGAGGCGGATTTTGAGTAATTTTTTTGACAGGTATTCAATAGCACTGAAAAGGGGAGGATTTTTTCGGAAGTTATAAATACGCCATTTTGATGTAGGGTTCAGGGGTGTACGTACTTATTAAAGATGTACATCAAGTTGGAATTTTAAATCTGTACACAGCCCATCAGTTCAGCGTGCCCGTGCTTGAAATGTACTGCGTCACAAGCTGACGGTTTCGATGGCGCTGTATTTATGACGCGTGAACGCACGATTGCATAGTTGAATGCGCAATACCAGGCGGGCTTTGGAGCAGGTCTAGCCTTCATACAACAGGTACAATATCACCAGCATCGTATTGAATAACCACCGTAGCTCGAGTAATTGCTTGCGCATAGTGATCACTAAAAGGTAAATTTAAATATTGGCATACATTCACCGTATGAAAATCATCTCGTTTTTGACAAGATACCCCTGAATCGTGTTTTCCCCGCGTTGGCTACCGGTTGTGTGACCTAAAGAGGCCCCGTTGCTCCGTGGATCATGGCAATATTTCGGCAAGTGGGAAAGGCTGGATGCAGCGACCGCACCTACCACTTACTGATGATATTCCTCATGTGCGGATGGACGGGTAAGAATATAGTGCGCTGCCCGTTGAACTTAACAGGAATGTCCTTTGATTTCGTAACTGATCGGTGCAGTCTTCATTTTGGTTAATTTTCAAGCTCGTACTTTTTGACTTTCCTGAATAACTTTGCCGATTCAGATATTAGCTATGTAAGCCCTGGTGTTACACTTTAAGTCACATTCATGCCATCGACTTATTCGTAGTAGGGTTGGCTGGAAGATAAGGTATGATTAGTATTGGCTTCGTTAATATGAGGCAAGGCAGAGCCTCTATACGAGTTCAGTTTGAACAAAATCTGAATTCTTTAAATTCACGTGACCATGATCTGAATTGTCCATACTAAATACACTGTTGCTGTTCCTCCTGATTCGGGGAATTTGCTTCGTTACATAAGAGACGCCTTGCACCAATAGACTGTTTTCATATAAGAAGGGCACAAAGGAACCAGTTCCATCTCAGAGATGGTAGTCGCCTTGCAAAAGCTTACCCCGAATCACAAGGCACATCAACAGTGTCTTTAGTCTGGGGAAATCAAATTGTTATGTTTATGTGGAATCAGATAACTCAGCGTACCAGGCTTTATTCAAATTTAACTCACAAAAAGCTCATTTGAATGGGTTGTTTTCTTATCCTTTCTGAAGAGAGTTTACCATACTTCATTGCGCGGCTTATTTAGGTGCATAAAGGGACTATCTAAGCTTCTGACACAAACCAAACG